GTAGTGAAGTTAATAAGCTCTACTTTACCAATAAGGATGACTCAGTGGTGAGTATGTAACTCAATAGTAAGAGGCTACCTGCTTACTAACAAGGGCAGTACACCGATTGTATTCCAAATTTCTTATCTTTTCTGTTCGTTTGAAAGGATTGTCAAAATGACTAGCATTGATTGATAACTTTCTGCTTTCATTTGTCCATTAGCCATACCTTATGCGGATATGGAGAACTTTAGTTAGTTACGAGTTTATTAAATATTTTTTCTCGAAGCTTCCCGAGGTTCTCGAATACTCTTATCAGTGATTATGGAATTGATCATGTGACTCTCGTAATTCCGTATCTGGAAATGTATAGTCATACCAAAAACAAAACCTCCTCTAGCTGGTCCAATCAATTAAAGCATCATGGTTCAACGTGTAAAAGTTCCTCCTGATTTACTTATGAATGGCGGCTCTGTTTCAATTCGGGTAAGTCAACATAAATATATTCTTCTAATCTTGTATAATTCAGTCAGAACGTCTATTGCTCACAAGAATTTCAAGAGTGACAGAAAACAATCATAGTATAACAGAACAATTGTTACTATACTATAAGAAAGAAACCAATTCTTGGAGGAGCCATGACGATTCCACTTCCTCTGATATTCTTGATACAAATAGGAATCTAGGTCAGTCCTTCTTCGTCATTAATATTGATAGAATTTATAATTCAGATGATCTTGTTAGTCCTGCTTTAGAGAAATATGATAAAGATGAAGAAGATCTCAACAATGCTTTAAGCATATTGAATTGGGTGAATGATCCGTCTTCCAGTCTAAACGATACAGAAGTTGATCAGATCCGAATTTCTTAATACAAAGAACGTTGTTCATTGTATCTAATCTACATTTTTTTTTATTCGTAAAAACTCTTATTTATAATATCTCGAACCATATTCCTTGTCTTGGATTCACGAAAACAGCTGCTTGCAAACGTTTATGAATGTACTTTCCCTTTGATGAATATATAGTTTGCAGTTTAGTGGAGTCAATAAAGAATTGGTTCGAAACTGTTCATTATCACTCATATGATTATTAGAACGTCTCTTCTCGTACCCTCATACTTGTTTCTGCTATCTTTAGGTGTTTGGAAGCGATGATGTTAACGAACGGCTCTTCGCCATATAGAATGCGTGAAATGGAATTATAAGATTTGATTTGCTTTTAAGATGCTTTGGCTGTTCTTCTCACTATTGAACCTTCTCGTAGGAATACGCTCTCATTTTTTATGTTTTCTGTTTCAGTTGCATTTCAGTTGGGACTTGTAGACTCGTAGACTCAGCCATATACGAAGAAGAGTCCTGTTTGGAAATTTGTTCAACGGAGTTCTGTGGGTTGTTCTCGTAGGGGGTGAGATACAATAACTTGGTTATAAGCTGTTTAGAAATTTGCTTATTGAATAGGAAACCCCTGTAAAGGACTTCTTTACACCGAATTATATACAGGGCTTGAGAGGTGTTCTATTCTATTGAGCTCGATTCTTGAAAAAGCTCTAGGCTATAGTACTTTTGGTGATTCATCATCAGAAAAACCGTTGCATCGATGTAGATATATCGTCTTTGGATGTATTGCTTAACACTTATAAGCGAGTATGATTTGATCGGAGGTGCCTAAGTTTCCATACGCTGAAGGACGCAACTGTTCTGGACAGTTGCGGTGGACTTTGGATAAGGCTTGGGCAACCCCGCACCTTATATGAAAACGATGATCATTTATCTCGCTCTGATAGATCTAGAAAGATAGAGAGAGGAAAGAGAGAAGCACACATCACACTGCAAACTAAGGCGAGTACGCGGGAACGTGTCACGTAAAAATAATTTTTCCATAGAAAAAAATATTACCCGGTCGTTCTCTTCCGGGAACAAAGTGTAACTTTGCTTCAAATATCCTTCATTGGATATTTTCTGGGCTGATTTCGGTCAGAATTTCATTTTAAACTCGATTATGATGTCCATTGGTTGTTGTTGAAATGCCTTTCATCCCGAAAATGTTCAAATTCCTTAAGAGTTCACGTCATGTCGTATCCGGGGTATCAGCTTGCATACAGATTTCTAATGATATTGAATCAAAAAGAAAA